GATGAGTTCTCAGTGCGCACAGCCAATCATATTGTGCAATTTAAAAAATCTCCATTGAACAGAATGACGGATGAATGAGCTGCAAGCTTAATAAGAAGACAACAAGCTATGTTACATAAGATGACATAGACTTGTTATTTAATGTCCTCGAATGTTATTTTTCGATTCAAAAGTTCCACCTCCTTGCCAACATATCCTTACCCACAGAATGAAAAATCAAAGCTTAATCATTCCATCTAAAATTTTTTAGTATGAGGTGAGGTTGTGCACAGTATCTCGTGGCAAACACTACCTGACAAAACTTGCACTGGATAGAAAAAAAAAAAAACTGCAAAAGCAGAGAACATTCTAGACCGACAGCTGCTGTGGCCCAAAATTCTGGGTGGAATGCAACACAATCATCGCCCAGACCTCAGAGCGACCACCTGCCTGAGTTCCTGCAGGTCTGACCGTGTGATCCCCACAACCTTCGGCCTCTGTGCACCCACAGGACCCCACGACACAGACTCCATGGCTGGGGTGACAACAGGTGCACACTGGGGTCACCGCACATTGAGTCAGAGGTTGGGAGGTGTCACAAGTTTCTGGAATTTACCTAGGGGTAGAAAACGCCAGTACAGACTGGAGTACTTAACAGCCTCTGACACCGGAAGACGCAGACAAAGCTGAGTAGTTTAAGCTGTGTTGCGAGACTTTCGAAGCCACAGTGTAAAATAACACTATAAGCCTTGGTTTGACTTAGAATTACAAGTAAAATTTACCAATGATGTTGAGCAGAAAATTGCTTAATACTGTCTTGAAGTGTTTTAGAAAATTATAATCACTAGGAGGGCAAAAGAGAGAACTCTAGACCAGAAACTCAAGGCCGCAAGTGAAACAGACTGATTTCTACCCTTTCCGGTGTGCTCCGGTAACCCAAGGTCCTGCGCCTGGAAGGAAAGCTCTTCCAGCACGCAGCGAGCCACAGCACAGCAAACAGCACCTGCACTTCCGTAAGCCACTTTGCCACCGACTTCTCTTCCTGAGAGGCCTGGCATCTTGTGTCACGAGGAGCCCAGGCTCTCAATTGCACTCGAGTGGCGCTGACAAGCACTTCACCTCTGACAAAGTGTAGTGCGCCTGTGTGCACAGCCACGAGCACATTCAAGTCCAGAAAACAAGCACTTGAGAGGGGCCCTGAATGGCCCCGAGCTGATTAGCCAGCACTCCCGCCACCTCCTGCAGGACCTGCGTGGTGGCGCGGGCGCCAGGGCTCCTGTCTGCACTGTGTGCCCAGAAGGGACAGCACAGATGGGGAAAGCTGTCGTCGGAGCTGGAAAGGACCAACAAGGTAGTGTGACAGGACCCTTCTGGGCTCCCTCGCACACACTCCCCTCCTTTCCTGTAGAGATGTGTTTTTGACGAGTTGACCCAGAACCCAGGGGCTGCTATTATTTAACCTCTTCCAAAGCTTCCTGTACTCTAGGAACAGCAGTTTGTACTGAGCAGACCTCTCGGTGGCTAGAGATAAAAAGGACACAAATCGGGTAAGTAGAGGGCAGATTCTGAACTTGTGCTCCTGAAGACAGACGCCTGAAGGGTTTCAGAACCCACTTCTGGTGATCATTCTCATTTGAGCTGTTCAAATCCCTGGGAGCATCAAGTTCAAGGACGAAGTTGCAATCTAGGTATTTTATCAGATTTCCTGACTGCTTTTCACAGCATCCATCTGGCTCAACACTGCCTTCTTCAGAAATTATGTCACACATAGCTTCTTACTATTTCTCAGTCAATGAACATGCAGGTTTCACCATGTCAGAGGACAAGCAGACAACTGGGTAAAATACGCGAATTATGAAAATATGCAAGATCGTGAAGTCACAGACCCTCGGCAGGAGGAAGTCAGGGGAGTCCATCTGGTTCCTACTGTCACGACTGTAAGCTCTCCCTGCCTTCTTTGCAGTTTCCTGTTCTTCTGTTCCCTTTCCAACAAGGTGCACGCACGAGGCCTGAGCTGGACAGGGGTGCTGCGGGCGACAGGCTGTGCGGCAGGCGTGGAGAGCATCAGGGTCAGGAGCAGGGTGTGGTGGTCTGCTCTGCAGAGGCGCGGGGAGGGGAGGCTCACACAGAGTGGGCGGGAGGGAGGACAAGACACTGCGGGGGCAGACGTGCGGGGCACCCGGCCTGGGAGTGGCTGCTCTTGCGGACAGCAGGGAGGGCGGTGCTGGGTAAGGGGTCCCAGGAGGTGAGGGATGCGGGTCTGGCCCCACACAGGCCGAGAGTGAGCTCTACCCGTTACTCGGTTTCTCTTAGCCAGTGTCCCTATCTGCAGACTCACTCCTTCTACTGCTTCACTGAGGCAGCCTCTCCCAGAGTCACTACGCTGCCCCAGCTGGCTTAGAACTGGTGACCCTCCTGCCCCAGCCTCCCAGAGTGCTGCAGTCGTAGGCACGCACCACCCCCATGGCTCCCCAAACTCATGACTCGAGTCATCCATGGGAAACGCCAGACAAACCCCACTCTGGGACATTCTACAAAAGCCCCTCCAGTCCATCGAAGCGCAGAGAACCTGGGAAGCCGTCACAGCCACCAGGAGCCTGGGCAGACACTAGGAAGGGACGCCTGACAGGACACCAGGAGAACCCGAGCACAGCTGGACACAGCGTGCACTCAGTCTACAACAGTGTGCCACAATTTTTCATTAGTTCCAACAATCGAGTTATATTGACATGAATGTTAATAGGAGGAAAACGTGTTAGGGTGTATGAGGACTCTGTACTATCTTTGCACATTTTCTGTTAATTGGAAACTTTCGAATGTAGTTCACTTATTCATTTATCTTTGTACCCAGGATCGAACTCAGGACCTTGCACTGGTGCCATTGGGGTAAAGACCCAGCCAAGTAGTTTATTATTTTTAAAACTTTAAAAAACAGATTCACTCCTTCCAAATAAAGTCTTCGGGGAAAGATACCCCGGTCTCCAGAAGAGCAGGGCTGTGTCGTGCTGTCATTTCTCACGCAGTCTGTCTGCAGCAAGCAGGGAAGAGGTGGAGACAGGGAGAAGGGTGGGGCGCCATCGGGATGGCGGGTAGGTGGCTGAGCAACACCCGGTGCCTCATGCCATGGTCTCAAAGCCCCACCACGTGGGCCACCATCCCTTCCTATCTCAGGACTGCGCCTGCACTCGGTTCCGACTTCTGTCTCAGCAGCTCCTCGGCTTTCCTGGGTCCTTGGAGGATGGCCCGGTCTCACCTCAGTGTCCCGGCCGCCTACAGAGGTGGCTGAAGCCTCAGGGCTCAGGTTCTGTACCTCCGCAAGACCTCCAGACCTGCAGCCAGGAGCGCAGGGGCTGAGGCGTCTTCGGGCGGACTGCTGGGTCAGCCGGTGGCTGTCAGGACCCTTCCCTGGGGTCGGGGAATCCTGGCCTGGGGATTCCCCGTGACAGGCAGTTCCGCTCTCCCAGACTTCTCCCGCCACACTTCCCACATATCCAGGGACTGTTGCCGTGGTGCCCACCTGAGGCAGGTTCTCCTGATCTGCTTAAGGCTAGCCGAGGACACGTGGGTGCTGACTTCACTCTGCGGGTTAAAAATCCATCCCGGCACCATTTGCCTTGCTGCTCAAACTGTTTCGGCTTTGGGGAAGACCTTCCAGGGAGGGGCTGACGTTACTTCACTGCACGCCCCCTTTGCAAAAGAATATTCTTCCTTCTTAGCTGAGCTGTGCAGTACCACTTTGTGTTTTCTAGAATCTAGCGATCAAGCACTTCTCTTACAGCCCTGGTTTCCTGTGCCAGGTATGGCGCAGAGGGAACGATCGATCCACAGCAGGCATGTCACTGTCGCGGGAGTCGCACTGCTTGGCTGAGGACTCGGGCAGCCTGGCGGGAGCAGGAGGCCAGGGTGGCTGCAGCTGGGTGAGCTGGGCAGGTGCAGGTGATGGGCGAGTTTGGGGTGGGGACGGAAGCGCTGGCGTGTGCCGAGCAGCACCTGCGACGTGAGGGCAGCTCCTTCTGGATTTCCCAGCGGGGCTCTGTGTCCGAGGCGTGCTCCCTTGGGGGCCCAAGGGCAGGGGCTAGATTTGGGATATTCATGCCTTTCCACGGGAAAATTCAGAAAATAGACCACCGGATGCGATGCCCAGGTGCTCGCCAACTGTTGCCGTGTCTCAGCCCTGCACCCGCTGGCTGCTCTGTCAGAAATACACTGGACATCCAGCATTCAGCAGGTGGCCGGATATATGCAGGGTCCCTTTCACAATCAGTTAGTTACCTGCGCTGACTTGTGGTCCAAAAGCCGTGGAGGAAGCTCACGCCATTCTGACGCAGCGACCCCTGAGCAGAAGCAGCCCTTTGCTGGGTGTCCCCGGACAGGGTCCGCAACCCCAGACCCCAGCAGCCCTCCCAGTGAGCAGGGCAGTGCTGGGGATCCGGGCAAGTCCAGCCTGCCCTCATCCTATTTCCCAACAGCCCGACCCAAGGATGGGCGCACCTTCTGTGGAGACCACTCAGCGGCACCGTGAGGACACACCTTGTATTCGTGAAATGCCAAGGAAAGAACGCTGAAGTCCTGCCAGGCTTGCCGCTGTACAGCGAGTGCTGAGCCCTCACCCAAGAGGAGCAAGGCACTCTTAGAGCCTCTGGGGGCTCTGGAGTTCTAGCTGCCCATGGGGTCTGGGACGATGGTGCGGAGTGACTCTTTCCTCCTGTGCATATACATGCCCAGTGTTTTCGGAGCACCCACCCACAAAGGGACATTTCCAGGGAAGGGACACACCCCGTCAAGACTAGGAGACACCCCAACTCATTCTAGATGTCGATGTAGCGACTTACAATCCCACTGGTGTCTGAAAGTTCCTGGGTCTCCTGCTTCTCAGTAACACACCGGTCTTTCAGATTTTACAAAATCCGTCAGCTGGCCAGGTGAGGCAATGGCTACTATTTTAGTTTTGGCAATACTGGCTTTATAAAAGTCAGATGCGTTTTCTTTCTCTGCCTCCTTACACCAGTTTTACATGACAGGGACCACCTGAAGCTATGACAAACGAGGAGGTTCTGTATCTCCTTTTGGACCTGGCGGAGCCCCGGACATCTGGGAAGCCAAAAGGCCGAGGTATGTGGGGTGAGGCAGTGAGGGTGACTGACAGAGGAGGGACTCGGTCAGCGGCTGAGGGGCAGGAGTCACACTGACAGAGAGCTGAGAAGGGGAAGAGGCTCAGTCTTAGACGTGCTTTGGTCTCCTTGGGACCATGGAGCCCCCGAGGCTGGGGGCTTGGGAGGAAGGCCACGCTGAAGACCGCTCAGGCCTGAGATTTGCCGATTCATTTTACTCACTGAAAAGACCTTTACGTGTCTGTTCAGTGACAAACTCCAGGTATACAGCTTTTCTCCTCTTCCTCCCAATCATCCAAGCGTTTTGAACAGGAGTGATGATGGCCTGGCCTTTCTTCTCGGGCCAGGGCAGAGGCAACTGTGTTTCCTGTGCTTTGCTTCCGAGAACCTTGTTTTGGTTTTCCTGTTTCCTCCCAGGTTTTCCAAAGAGCAGCGTGGAGAGGATGCAGAAGCTGGGGCGCAGGAAGGCTGATCCTGTCATGTGAAGTTGGCAGTCTGCATGAGTGTGGGACATGCGGAGGAGCTTGGAGCTGGGAGAAATGGAGCCCTGAGGAGAGCTCTATGCTTTTTCTGGGCTCTAGCCAGCACCAACTTGCAAACAGGTGCCAGCGCCAACTCCCAACACCCTTCCGGTTAGAAAGCTACCGTTTAAAAGGCACACACTGCTCGGAGTCGGGGCGGGTTTGAGGTGCTCGTGGGAGATGCTTCTCTGAGACTTACTCTTCTATATAAAATAAAACATCAGGACTTGGCAATTCTAGGTTCTTCCAGCCTTTAATACGCACATGGTTTCTATACACAGATATCGACAATGAGATGCCACACGTGGAGGCTTTTAAGGAAAGAAAGAATTCTTTCTGCAAACTTCAGCCAAATGCATGCCTGACTAACCCGGGGAAAGCGGAGGGCTGGTGTGGCCTCGGAGCTGAAGGCCAGGGAAACCACAGGAAGCCGGGAGGAAAGCATGGCCATTGCCTCAGAAGACTTATGTGGGCCTGCAGGAGGTGCCACCCAGGAGAAGCCCTCTTGGCAGACAAGGAAGGACTCTGCAAATCCTCTGCATCCCGGCTGGCCTGGGGACAGAGCCCTTGACAGGGAGAGAGGTTATTCTGAGAAAGGTAAGGAAAGTACTGAGAAGGAAGGATGCACTTTTTTGGAGGCTCCTTCAGTCTGCCTGAGAAATGTCCTGCGCAAGCCCATGAGCCCACCTAGTAGGCTGCAAGCTGATGCCTCAGGGCCCATCCCCAGCACCCAGTGGCCGGTGGAGGCTGCTCTGTGCCTACGCAGCCAAGCAGCAGGTGCGAGGAGCCGTGCTCCCTCCGAGGGGCCTGACACCATCACCATCTGTGCCACCTGCCTGGAACCTGGCAACACGGCTGGGAGCACAAGCACTGCTGAACGGCCCACGTCCAGGAAGCGCTTCTGACAACACTCGGGCACACCAGGGAGCCCACAGGGCACAGGGTAGCTGGGCCGCCCTGACCAGGCCCAACAGACGCGACTAGCTATTCCCTTGTCTACTTACAAGAATCAGGATAGGTTACATGTGTGCCTTTAGATTTTTAGTATTTCCAGGGAGAAACTCCTCTCCTAGTTCTCTTCCTTCTACCTACACTGCAGAGCACTGAAGTACGTGGAAAAGCCTCCAAGTCCCTGTGATGGAGTATAAATAGAAGCTGAACAATGGATGTTTAAAAGATCATTTGCTAGAATTAGAAATCACTGACAGAGGAAGCAATTTGGAATAATCGTTGTGTGGACATGTATGAGAGATTCGGGTCCAAGTTGCTGGGGGAACAATCTCAGAGCAAAGCCAACCTGACTACACACGGGGCCACACAGAACAGCTGCATTTAAAGAGCTCTTACCCCGCTCCCCTCGCTGTAATCTGTGTCTAAGTTATGTTAATGATTTATTGGAAGGGACTTCATGGCTCTTTTCCTCCTCCTTCACTTTTCCTAGAAGTTTGGAGGTTTTCATTACCCCAGACTTAAAACAATGGCATTCTCTGCTGTCACCAGTGTCTGGTGTACCGCGTCCACACTAGTGTTGATTAAATGTTGCCTTTGGTGTACCCCGATGACACACAACGTCACAGCACACCACACGTCACCCTCGTTTTGGTTCCCAGTACCATCTTTCTGTAGTCAGGCCAGTTTCCACCCTGTTTCCCAGAGTGCAGCTGGCGTCCCAGCCCGTTGCTTTGACTTCTGTTCTCTCTTACAGGAGGCCCTTCCTGTTCAACGGCCTTATATACAGAGAATGTCTCGACAATGCCACGCCTCATGTCCGAGCTATGATCACAGCCCACTCTGCACAAACAGGGCGGCCTCTCTGCGCCTTGCTGTGCTCCTGCACCGTGAGCTCACGGAGGGTCAGGGAATGAAAGGAGACAGCCCCAAAATGCAGAGTTCAGGGTTCATCAGAACCAGTGCCAGCCAGGACCCTGTGCTGCAAGGGCCTCATTCACTTCCCTGCGGGGAGACCCTGACTTCGATGCGGGCCAGGAAGAGTGCATGACACACCCGGGAAGGCCACGACCAGAGGCTGCTTCCTCAGAACAACAGGACAGCTGGAGGGTGCTCGAACGCTACAGCTGCTCATCTCTCAGAGGAGCGGTAATCTATACTTGTCGAATTGCAATCTAAACTCCGCTATTAAAAGAAAAGCTCTTTTTTGGATAAAGTCCAACTATAATTTTAAGCAACGGTTATTAATACGCTCTGCCTTGTGGAGAAGCTGTTTGGCACGAAAGTGAACAGGGCTTCGTGGTGACACTGTCCACTCCCTGCTTCCCGGCCTGCATGGCCAAGTCTTACCTCACTACTAAGGGAGCCGCTGTACCCTGAGAGAGCGGTGGCCTCTCAGAGTGTCTGTCCTCAGGACCCGTGGCTGGGGTCATCCTGAAAACCACTGCTGCTTCTTCCTGACCTCAAGGGCGGCAGTCACCAGCTGGGGCACCGCAGCTCCGCTCCCTGGAAGATAACTCTGAGGCGGCCCCGGTGCCCCGGTGGTTTTCACAGAGGCCAAGCTCACGCTCCACATGTCCCGCAAGGTACCATTGGGTCCCTTTCTCCCATTTCATAACAGAGAACCCGTCTGTTAAGGTGCGGCCTGCCCTTCCCCTCCCTCTCCGGGTGTTGACCTGCTCCTCTCCTCCGAGGGCTCGCGGCTGAGGGGTCTCGAGAGCTGTAGACAGGAAGCCCCTGGCCCCACTCTCTCGTTCCCACGAGCTGTGCTGACCCGAGCCGCGTGTGGGTGCTCCGCCCGATGCCTCCTGTGTGACGGTGAAGCTCCTCAGAGCGGGAGACTGTGTCTCCCCGCCTCCCTCTCTCCTCCCTCTCTGCGTGCATTTGGGTGTGTGCATACAGACCCAGTGGGTGCTTGCACCGTGCCGTGCAGCTGAAATGAACAGCACAAGCATTTAAACAGGAGAAAACAAAAGAAAATCTAAGCTATGCTTCCTAAACTCACTAAAAGCCCAAATTAATTTTATTGCAAGAAATCAAGAGATTGCCTACAGCAAACGCCCTCAGACTCCTTTAAAGTGGTTGGCAGTCCTGAAAGGAAGAGGCCTCTGAAGCTGAGCTACTGCTGAACTCACAACGGCTGACACTTCAGTGGTTTCACACTGCTTTCTCGAAGGCTGCTGAGGCGCCGAGCGACATCACCACATCTAAGCGATTCAGGGCACAGCGCACCGAGCTCCTCTGCCGCTGCAGCTTGTGTAGCGGAGCAGTTGCTGTGTACCGTTAAACAGTTGGCACGCCGCACAGCTCTGGCATACAAAAGTCAACCGGGTTTAGACTTATGTTGTTTACTGATGCCAATGTGTACTTCGCGCCTCCTTAAGTGTATCAAAATTCCTTAGGGTGCCAAACCAAATCTGTCCTGGGGGACCCAAACGTGCCAACAGCTCATCGGTTTGTGGAAGCATTACTGGAAAAACTCAAGCGGGGAAAGACCTCTTTCCTAGTAACAGGCCAAGGTCTCCTAAGTGAAAGTGGATCACAGCTCTGGAAGTCAGGTTGTGGACTTCAGGCTGAAGAGCCAAGTCTGATCGTCAGAACCAATTTGGGAACGAATGCTACATGCCTCTGGGTACCACCCTGGCTTTCTTGGAGCCTCTCTTGGCAACCTCGGTTGCTGTTTTACAGCTTCAGAGAAAAGCGTGCCTAGGAATTTGGAAGAATGTGCTTTCCGAGTTCAGCACCGAGTGATGACTAAGTAACCAGAAAGCCCAGGAGGGTATTCAGACGAGTATGTTCCGTGCAGATGAGCAAACGGAAAGTCGGCACAGATAAGGCCGATTGTGATGTGCCGCTGCTCTGGCAAATGGTGATTGTTTCATGCGGACAGAGAGGAAGCAAGGCAAGCAACGGACACCCTGCGAGGTCGGTCGGAGCACGTGATTTTGGAATATCCCTATCTAGTGGTATTCTAACTTGTTCTTTAAAAAACACATTTCAGCTTTAAAACAATGGTAATATAGCATGAATTTTAACAAGCATCTATAAAATCATTAGTACTAAAATTGAAATTATTGGGTATAAATACTACCAGATTCTACTTAAAATAGTTCTTCACTACTGATAAACCTGGACACCATGAGAAAGACTGCAGGAAGTATCGTTGACTTACTGTATGTGTCAAGAAAACTAATTCCATAATGTGTCTACCATGGAAAAATCGTACTTGAAATTCCTCTCAGGTAGAATGAATCACAAATAAAGTGCCATAAAACACAGACCTACAGTCAAGGAAAATACTTCGATACCTATAATAAACAACAACTTCATATATACATATATATGTATATATGTTTTTTGTTTTTTGTTTTTGTACTGGGGATCGAACTTGGTCCCTTGCACTTGCACGGCAGGTGGCGGAAACACTGAGCCAAATCCCCAGTCCCTCAACTTCGTAGGTTTTAAGATAAGCATATAGGTGACTGTGGTGAAAGCTGCATTTCCATGTAGTACACTCATGAGTATTTTTAGAGATCATTAGATTTATAGAATTTTAATTAACTCACCATACTTTTATATTTCATTGTAAACCTGCCTCATCCTAATATTCTCTGTTCTGAAAGTGGTGCCGTACAAAATCAAATTAACCAGACTTTTTCTATGCTCTTAAGATTTTAAGGCTACACAGTGTTAACAGTAAGCACAGTGTGGTCCACAGATCTCGACAGGTTCTTCATCATGCATGACCGAAACGCATACCTACCGAGCCACAATTTCTGATTTTCCTTCCTCCCACTCCTGGTAACCCCCACTGAACTTGCTGCTTTGCTGAGTCTACTCTGGTACTCATGAGTAGAACCATGTCTCTCTGGCTGTTCACTTCACTTGGCACGACCTGCTCTGGGCCACCCGTGAGGCAGCAGTCGGCTGCCCCGGGTTTAGGGCTGAGTGATGCTCCAGTGTGTGTCTACAGCCTGTTTTGTATTCGTTCACCGGATGAGGTTTCCAGCCATTCCCACCCCTGCTGTTGTGAATGATGCTACAACACACACGCAGTACAAGTATGGCTTTCAGATCTGCGTTGCAGTCCTCTTGAAGGAGCCAGGTGCTGGATCTGTTTGAGGGTTTTAGGTGCCTCTATACCATTTTCCACAGGGGCTGCACATTTCACACTGACACAGTGATGCATCAGGGCCCAACTTCTTGTGGACACTTGCCGTTTCCCATTGCTTTGACAGTGGCTATCATGACTGGACCAAGGGGACAGCACCCTTGGGCTTGTATTTCCCTGACAACTGGCGATCGAGAGGTCTTCTTACAAACCTGTCGGCTGTCTTCTCTACAGAAATGTCTATTCGAGTCTTTGGCTCTTCCGAATTTTCTTTCCTTTTACTTTTGCTGTGCTGGGCATGGCACTGGGTCCTTGGGCATGGTAGGCACGTGCCTATCCACGAGCT